ACTTTGTGTCGCGCTGAGCAAAGCATGATCCTGAACACAGGTTTTCCAAGTCTCAGCCTAGCGCCCTGAACATTTTGCTGTCTTCCTCCCCTACAAATAATTGACATAGTAGAAAATCTGGTGCGTGTGTGCTGGGAGTCCAAGGAGGTCTCGCGTGTGGGAAGCCAAGGTCACATTGGATTAGATCTCTAGAACCTGTCATCCTTATGGAGTTTCTTTTTTTTAAATAGCATGATAGACTTAAAGGACACTCTCCTGAGAACAAAATCTGATTAAACAAACTCCTGCAATGGGATGATTATTTTGCTAAATATAATATAGCACCCAAGCAACTTTAGAAACAGTCATCAGTGTTTTAGTTCTTCCAAAGTAGGGAATGACTGGGTGGGAGTTTTTAACACTCTCCTCTCATGGCTTTCTGAAGCAAGGGACCGTCTTCTTGGCCTGTATTTATTTGGCTCTAGTACAGTGAAATCCTAGTCCAGAACTGGGGCTCCTAGGCATTACTGCAAAACAACAATTCCCATGAGGGAATAATAATCTTGCAGTTGTCCAAGCTGCTCCACCATTTAAAACATCTGTGTTAGCAGTCTGTTTGCACTGTGATCGTGCTTAGAAGTCCCTGGTCAGGGTTCAGGGCTTTATTACTATAAGCCCTAGGCACATACCCCACAGACAGGCCCTACCCCATGGAGCTTACAGTCTTATCGTGCATCCTGGAAACCATGCACAGCCGAATACACAGCAGAAATGAAATGCCGGACTTCAACAAGTGAGAGTCTTATCCAGCTGTTGTGAGAGACAGCTTCCTGTTAGCTCTCTTATTTATGGGGGGAGACACTTCTTACCAACTTGCTTCCGGTGTTAGAGAGAGAGAGAGATCCTTTTACAGCTCACACCAAAAACAGCAAAGCAGAAGATTTTGCAGTGTTGATTGGAAGGAGTCAGGCAGGGACAAGCCCAAATGATGTGCTGTTCATGAGAGCGATTTGGGTATATTTGAGAGTTGCAGCTCCTTCCGCCCTGTTGAAGTCGCAGAGAGCTTTGTTCATTGGCTTCAGTAGGCAGAGAGCATGACCCAGTCTGGGGTGGGGCGGTACTTCCGTGTAAGTCTTTTGGCATAGCAAACAATATGTACCAAGGGAGTTTCTCTGGACTTGTTCCATTGAAGTGGTGGCTGCAATGCCCCTCCTACCGTGCTCTGTTTGGTCACCCAGAGGCAAGGATCTAATGCACAGTAACACGCAGGTGCCACATACACACCTTCCATGTATCTTCGCTTCCATGAGTTGCTCCATTCAAGTCAGGGGACTAGTGATGTGAGTGAAGTTGTGTGTGTGCCTTCATGCTCTCAGAATTGGGGTCTATGGCAAACCTTCCCCCACTGCTCCTCTGAATATAAAAGGAAACTCTCCCCGTCAGAGCAGCCTCTGAAGGCCTCTTGGAAACTGGGTTGGCGGTGACCCTGGGAGATCAGTGGTGCCAAGCTACTGGGATGTGGGGGTCAGTTCCAAAGACTAGATACCCTCCTGGAGCATGGCCCCTGCCCGCTTCTTCCAGTTGCAGCCATGGGCTTCAGTTTGTTCATCCCTAGCACACTTAGCTGCCAGCAGCACAGCATGGACACACTGATCCAAGCATTTGTGTCTCAGGCCACTTAAGGATGTGGCTATAGGTTAAAACCAGCACCATAAACTTCTCTTGGGAGCCGTTGGGCAGCCAGAGCAGATCCCAGGTTCTTGGTGCTCACAATGGAAATGCTCCATTTAATTTCAGTGAAGAACTGGTGTGGAGGAGAACTCCTGGCAAATTCCTGCTTCAGAGAATAATAATTATCTAACGCTGTACAGACACAAAAGCATGCGACCCCCCACCCCAGGTCAGTGAATACATTTTATCTTCATATTACAAGGGGGAAATCTGACACATGACATACACAGAGGCCCAGGTTGCAAGGGATGAGCACAATCTGCAGCGAACCCCAACTGTTGTCTCCCAGTCCTGGATTTAGTCCATCAGACCTATTTTGTGCCCCCTGCATCTGATAAGAAAAAAGCCTTTCTATTTCCTGAGTAGAGTCTGAGCATTGCTCTTAGCAGCACGCTGGCTTGAGAAATGGAGGAAATGCTTGTAAGAATTTGTGTGCTTGGTAACAAAATGATCAGTCAGAATCATGTTGAATCCTTAATATGATGAGGGTGCTTATCTACAGGTCTTTCTTTCATGATTTGTTGTCATTCAGAATCTACCTTTGCTCCAAAGTAACTTGTTTCACTTACTTTCCTGATGATGCCACAGGAAAACATCTGTCCCCTCTAAGCATTTATTGCTGGGGCATGTGGCATGTCACGGAAAAACAGACTGAAACTTTCCATCACAAATTAAATCTGGGTAAAAGCTCTCTGGAGCATTCAGCTTAAACAGACCCCTCCATTGAGAGAGGCCCTTGATGTAACTTCATCCAAATGACTCTGCCATAGATTTAGGAGACCGATAATAACTTAGTGGCAGCTCTTGGAGGTACCTGTTGCCTTGATCCCATGG